CAGTGATGTATCCACCCTGGCTTTGGGGTGCCTCTTTGTCTCTCTCTTTGTCTCCTTTGTCTCTTTCTGTGTATTCTTGAGTCGCCGTCAGGTATCCTCCCCTCGTGAACTGAACCCCAATGTCGAGGCGGGTCCCCGACAAGGTTTGAGAAGACAAAGTCAATTTTATAATGAAATGTGCAAGGACCAGGAGTTAGAAAACCAAAAGGGAAAAACACACTCGGTATTTCTCAAGCTGGAAGAACTGAGGGAAAAAATCAAACTTCTACTTGAAATATTGGAGAATTCTATGGGTAAAATATTAAATGATGCAGAAAACATTAAAAGAAGATGAAGGGAATACAAGAGTCACTGTACCAAAAAGAAAGGATCAATGCTCAACCATTTCAAGAGGTAGCACATGATCAAGAACCAATGGTACTGAATGAAGAAGTTTAAGAATTGGCAAACAAAACAAAACAAAACAAAAAACAACAACAAACAAACAAGGATCCAGGAATTGACAAAACACAAATTGAAATCTTTCAACAAATTGATGAAGCACTGAAGGCACTTTCATCTCTGCCAAGAAATTTGGAAGAAAACTCCCTGGCCAACTGATTGGAAGAGATCCATATTTGTGCCCATTCCAAGGAAAGGTGACACATGGACACATTGGAATGCAGAAATCATTGAACAATATCATTAATGCTACATTCAAGTAAATTTTTACTGGAGATAATTTAAAAATGCTTACAACAGTACATCAACAGTGAACTGCTAGAAATTCAAGCCGGATTCAGAAGAGGACGTGGAACTAGGGATATCATTGTTGATATCAAATGGATCATGATTGAAAGCACAGAATACCAGAAAGGTATTTATTTGCACTTTCTTGACTCTGCAAAGGCTTTTCACTGAGTGTATCATGACAAACTATGGTTAACATTGCGAAAAATGGGAAATTCAGAACACTTAATTGTGTTCCTGAGAAACTTGTACATAGACTTGTTAAAACAGAACAAGGGAATACTGAATGGTTTTAAATCAAGAAAGGTGTGTTCCATGGTAGTGTTCTTTCACCATATTCATTCAATTTGTATGCTGAGAAAATATCCAAGAAGGTGAATTATATGACGAAGACTATGGCATCAGAACTGAAGTAAAACTCATGAATTAGTTGTTATGTAAGGATGATGTCACCTTGGTAGTTGGGGAAGCTAAGAGGACTTAAAATACTTAATGATGAAAGTCAAAGACTTCAGCTTTCAGTAAGGATTGCATCTCAGTGTAAAGAAAACAAAAATCCTTACAATTGGACCAACAAATAACATTATGATAAATGGAGAAAAGATTGAAGTTGTCAAAGACTTAATTTTGTTTGGATTCATAATCAATACACATAAATGCAACAGTCAAGAAATTAAATCACATATTGCATTAGGCAATTCTGCTGCAAAAGACCTCTTTCAAGTGTTAAAGAACAAATATATTCATTTTTTAGAATTATGGTGTTGGAAAAGAGTATTGAAAGTACCATGGACTGTCAGAAAAAAAACCAAACTGGTACTGGAAGAAATATAGTTTGAATGCACCTTAGAACCAAGGATGGTAATTACGACTTTACCTTTCATACTCCGAGCACGTTATCACAAAAGAGCAGTGCCTGGAGAAGAACATCATGCTTGGTAAAGTGAAGGGTAAGCAAAAAAGAAGATGACCTTCAACAAAATGCATTGACACAGTGGCAGCAGCAATGGGCTCAAACGTAACAATTGTGAGGATAGCTCAGGATTGTAAAGAAATTTCTTTATTGGTATTCCCAATGATAAAGAATTATTGTGTTTTCTTAAAGTAGGCAATATTTAAACTCCTAGGCAAGGACTGGTGGCACAGCATATTTCCTGATGCTTATCGTTGACCTAGAGCTTTGACCCTCAAAATTTACTCTGTCCAGTGGGTTTGATTTTAGCTTAGTCTTAATACTCTCAGTTTTTCAGTTGTTGTAGTTAAGTGCCATCAAGTCAGTTCTAACTCAGCAACTCTGTATACTGTTTCTGAGGAGTGGATGGCGAGTTTGAACTGCCGACCTTGTGATTCAAGCTGACTTTGTGGTCCAGTGCATTATCCTGCAGTGCCACACTAGGATTCAACCTTTTTTTCCCCTGTTGACATGGCACTGTGCTGTCACCAGAGTTGCAAACCAATTGAAAGCTTGGGCCTGAGAAAGGGAAGTATATTGCATTGGCCTGTCCTTTGGTGCCTACAGAAAAACACTTTTCACTAAAAGAAACAGTCAATAGATCAATAGAGTTTTCTCCATTGTCCAGTCACAAGATTTGTAAAATCTCAGTGGTAGGTGTCAGTGACTGAGTTATGACTCATAGTGACCCTGTGTACAACAGAACAAGACACTGCCCATTTCTGTGCCATCGTCACAATTGTCATTTTTAAGCCCATTGTTGCAGCGATGGTGCCAGTTCATTTTCTGAAGGGTCTTTGTCTTTTTCTCTAACCCTCTACTAAACCAAATATGATGTTCTTCTTCAGGGATTGGTCCTTCCTTATAGTATACCCAAAATAATAGAGATGAAATCTTTCCATTCTCATTTCTAAGGAGCATTTTGGCTGCACCTCTTCCAAGACAGATTTGTTTCTTCTTCTGTCCATCCATGGTGTAGTCAATATTATTTGCTAACACTGTAATTCAAAAGTTTCACTTCTCTAGTCTTCTGTAGTTATTATCCAGGTGATTAAAAGCACCATGGCTTGAATTAGGTGCACTTTTGTCCTCAAAGTGACGTCTTTGCTTTTTGATACTTTGAAGAGGTGTTTTGCAGCAATTTTGCCCTATCTGACACGTCTTTTGATTTCTTGACTGTTGCATTGATTGTGGCTCCAAGTAAAACGTAATTCTTGACAACTTCAATCTTTTCTCTGTTTTTCATGATATTTATTGTTTTCTATACATTGTTTTTTGTTTTCTTTACATTGAAGTATAATCCGTATTCACTTTGATCTTCATCATGAAGTGCTTCAAGTCCTTTGCACTTTCAGCAAGCAAAGTTGTGTCATCTGTACATTTCAGGTTGTTAATGAGCCTTCCTTCAATCTTGATTCTGTGTTCTTCTTCATATAGTTCAGTTTCTCAGATAATTTGCTCAGCATACAGACTAAATAAATGTGGTGAAATGATACAGCTCAGAAGCAAATCTTTCCTGATTTTAAATCACTCAATATCCCCTTGTTCTGATCAACTGACTGCCTTTTATTCTATGCACAGGTTCTGCATGCATACATTTAGTATTCTAACACTCCTATTCTTGGCATTTGTTATGAGTTTGTTGTGAGTCATAACACAAGTTCAAACCTGATATTTAAATTGCCACCCTCTACAATATCAACCAAAGTCTTGGTGTGGAGCTGTGTGTTAATGCACTGGACTGCCAAGTTGGTTTGAACTACGAGGTCTGTAGTTCAAACTCACCAGTTGCTCCTTGGAAACCCTAAACAGTGTGGCTATGGGTCAGAACCGACTTGATAGCACTTAACAACAATCTCAACCCTACTGTATAAAGACAGTATTAACACACATTATCTTTACAAAATTGATTGGCAACCCAGCAGAGAAGACTTGTAAAGGCATCACTAGAATGAATATAAATTTTGTGAGAGTAGGATTTTGCCCTGTTTAATATTGACTTTCCAATATCTGTAACATTTAATATAGTAGATTCTCAGTAAATATTGATTGAATGAATGCATGTATTAATCATAAAAAATTTCTGGGGCTGTCCCTAAGGACAAGCTTGTAATACAGTTATATAAAATTGAGTGTTAAGATCACCTTGTTAAAATGGTAAAATTTGCCTGTGAGAGAATCAGTGGAATCAAAGCTTCTCGCTGTTTCTTTCCTTTGAGATGTTAGTGGAAACTACAAGTATCATGTTATTGTTGCTGTTAGCTGCCATCAAGCCACCCTGAGTAGGGTTTCCAAGGAGGGGCTGGTGACTTTGAACAGCTGACCTTGCAGTTCAAATCGACCTTGTGACCAGTATCCTACAGAGCCACAACAGGACTCCAGAAGTATCATAAATCATTATTAATATATTCACATTATTATTTGCAAAGAAATTGCCCTGAATTTTCATCATGATTTTTCTTAGAGACTGTTTACCTAAAGGCCCAGAATTCCTCTTCTGACACTGAGAGTGTTTTGTGTCTTCTTGACCAAGTGTTCCCTCGACTGTTTCCCATCCATACGTCATAACCTGCATCTGCTAAAAGGAACCCAAGGCTGCCATTGGCAAAATTCTCAAGCCAAACTGCATTGTCTGCAAACAAGGCATGCTGCAAGTACACAACTGGTCTTGGACCTGGAAGCAAAGGGAAAGAGAGATAGAGAGAATAAGTTATTATACATCCAGCATCTTAGAAATATGATAGGAGCACACACACATCACAAACACACAAAGGAAAACATTATAGATTCAGCAATAAACATCACCAACAAAAAACATAATCGAAAGCCAAAGCAAAGCAGAATGCCCAGTTAAATTTGAATTTCAGAAACATAATGGATAACTTTTCAATATAAATATTATCCATAATGGGACTTGAACAACAACAACAAATTATTGTTTATCTGAAATTGAGGTTGAAGTGGGCATCCCTTATTTTCTCTTGTAGCCTCATCCACTCCTCTGAAACTCTTGAATTACAAATTACTGTCATGAGAGAGAATGTTCAACAACATGACAGAAGATGCGAGTGAACATAGTATGGTTGTTTTTAGCTCCCTGTTGAGGCTGAATCTGATCCAACTCATAACATATTCAGTAGTTAGTGCATTATTTGCCTCGGAGCCTTTGCAAGATTTGCAATTATTATTCCCCTATTAAGAAATGTAATTCCCTGCTTTTGCATGACTGGTTCTTTCATATTTAGCATTCAGGTCTTCTTAACACCATTCTTTCATTAGCTAAAACATCTCTCTTTAAGGGCACAGAACAAAGCAAAGCAGATGTGAATGGTAACATTTTCAGTCTTAGCAGAAGTTTCAGAAATCCCATGGTTATTTAACTTGCTTTTTAAAATCCATCAGGAAAGTCCCATTGAGTCTAATGGGGGCAGAAGGGTCTTTTGGCCTGTTTTTTAACCAATTTCAAACAACCCAGGAAGAATGGGAAATCCACTTACTGGTACAAAGCAAATCAGCTAATGAGCTAACAAAATGTAGGCCCCACCTTTGCATTCACACACAGAAAAGTAGTCTGATTGTAGTCAACAAGATCAGTCCAGCCCTTTGTGTTTTTAGATTCTTATCTGTGAATTCATCAGTGAATTCAAGGATATGGTTAAGCCTTCTTGTCAACCATGTAAAAGCCAATGTAATCATTCAAACCCATTTCAATGAATCTGTTACTCCCTTGAGGTATAGCCAGCAGTGAATTTTGGTCATAGTTGAACCTCTTTTTCAGAAGTGTATCTTGTACCTGTGCTCCCAGCATCTTTTCGCCCATGGGGAATTCTGTTGACACTGAGTATGTAACCATCTTCAGTGATGACATCATACTCCTCACTGGGATAGCCATTATAGGTGATGATCTCACTCTGCTCAGTAAAAATATAGGCATCAGCAATGTGTCTTTTGTAAAGGATATCAAAAGGAAAGAGAAGAAACCATGATGTACACTTATTGGGCTGAATTATCTAAAATGTGTTGCTCCAAGCAATTGCAAAATTGTTATAGTATATATCATTTAAAAAACTAAGTAGAATATTAGAACATGTGAACCATTGGCAACTAGTGCATGGAGGAATTGAATACTGGCCTGTTTTAGTATGACAAAGCTAGATTTCCTTAACTAAACTGTCTTTTTTTTTTTGTCCTTTAAGTTTTTATTGTAGATTCAGTAAAAGTTTACAAGGCAGATCATCAGTTTTACATTCAACAAATCATATAATACATTTCATCACAATGATTACATTCCCCTCCATGTACCATCAGTTAACAATATTTCTCTCTATTCACTTTAGTTCTTTAAAAAAAAAAAACACTACAAAATACTGGGCCTATAATAATTTATACTACCAAAGGGCACATTCTTCAAGTCTGATTCTCTGGATAATGTTCCACATTCCGCTTGTGCTCTTCTCCCTTGATGGTCCTAGGATCCTTTGTTTCTGGACTGTAAAATTAGCTGCTCCCCCATTTATGTTACAAAACTTCTACCTTTACAATTGTGATAGTCGCAATTAGTCATGATAACAATTACTCACTACTGAATCATAAGAACCTTATCCCCATTTCTTTTTAACCAGACCTATCTAAACAAGATAACAACTATTCAGTGGGGACACTTTCTTCCCCTACACACTCTTAAACTCCCTCTTGAAATCTTGTAAGCCAGTCACTTAGTGCCTTTATCGCCCCCTCGTTTTAGGTAGCCACTGTCTAAGTTGCCCATCTATATCTATCCTGTGTACAGAGGGAATAGAATTGATATTTTATGTGAAGACTCCTTCCCTCTGTTTGTATTTAGAGTTACTATCTCCATGAGTA